TGGCCAGAACTCAGCGTGCCAAGCTGAGCACATCCAAGCAGGAGTTGCCCTTTAATTTTCAATCCATATTTGTGTTGCAGGGCTTCTACAACACAGGGATGTTTCACAAGCAGTGTGTGATTTATGACAGTCAGAATGTCAAGGTATAAGTGCCTTTGGGCATAATCTGAAGTAGCTGCTTGGAAAGTTAAGACTAAAAACTCAATCCTGTCAATTACATATTTATGAAGGCATACAGACCTGCATCACATAATAGGACCTTATGACACTGTTGAAGGTCAGTTGTACCAACAGTGTAAGGAGATGCAAATGCAGCTCTTGAGTACTGGTACCCAAGGACATAAAGAAAAGCTTGAGAGAGGTTACTTTCTATCCTAACAATTATCCCTGAAATTATGTGTGTGGCAAAACTGTTTGCAGCATCAGTCAAGGGATGCTGTGGCTTAGTGGCTTGGCATGCAGGAGGTTCCAGGTTCAATCCCCGACATCTCCAGTTTAAAAAGGATCAGACAGTGGGTGATATGAAAGGCCTCAGCCTGAGACCTTGGAGAGCCGATGCCAGTCTGAGTAGACAATACTGACTTGGATGGACCAAGAGTCTGATTCAGTATAAGGCTGCTTCATGTGTTCAGGTGCATGCATCATTCCATGAGCACAACCAGAGCTTTTGGCAACAGTTTCAGAAACAGCTTGCTGTGTGGTATATGGAACTGCTGTTACAGCAACACTCAAAAGCACTGCTGTACACACACAAACCACTGTACGTAAGCCTGAAGTGTTTCTGCAAATTGCCAACATTATGATTTACAGGTCTACAGTTGAATCTGTGGCTTAAGGGAAAGTTCACACATTGGATCTGGCAGTAAGAAGGTCCCAGAAAAGCAGCTGCCCACCATTAGTTATTCACACTTAGTGTTCATCCACACAAATGTATATGTGATTTTGGAAGTTTTTCTCCCTCACAAAAAGAGAGACGAACCATGGAAATCAGGCACATATTTCACTCATTTGGACATAACAAGCCTTGCACCACATCTGCCACACAACAAGCATGTACATTTCTAAGCCCCACCACATGTAGAACATTACTGCAGAGACAAATGTCTAACCAGCCCTTGTGCTTTTGTCTCACTGCCAGACTCAATCTGCTAAGGCTACATTCAGACTGTTCATGATGAGAGCAAAAACAGCCCTCAGGTTTGTATGCTCCCCCTTCTCTGTCTGAGCTGTACCAAAACTGAAGACTTGCTCATTTAGAACTAATAACAAAAAAGACAATGTGCCATAACTTTCAAATTCCTTTAACAAATTGTGGTTTATTTCTTGCCTGCATAAGGATTCTAGACAAGGATTAAGCCATGGATCAAAGACAAGAAACAGTCATTTGTGTAAGCATCACATAAGTGTGATTAGTTCTAAACCACAAAGTCTTCAATCTCAGCATGAAAGCGGAGTGAGGGGAATGCGCAAGCCCAAAAAACTCCTCACAAATGTGATGTCCAAATACAGCCTGAATGCTTTAAGAGCTGAAACATTTGGACATGAAAATAACAGGAATGAAAAGGTAAAAGTAATGTTTATTCATCTCGTGTGGCTAGATTCCCAGGTCACACTGCCTCTTGATTTCTACCAAATGACATCTGCCAGGTTTTCTCTCTCTCTATTCTTCTGCATTTAGAAAAGCAAGCACACAGCTGTATTTATTATTACATTTGGACGGGTGATGTCAACAACAGACTAGATGCCCCTGAAGATTTCATTTGTTTTCAGTCATGCCCAGCTGCTGCTGGATGTGCTCCTGATGGCTGAAGAATAGTTCAAGGGTTATGCTCTTGAATAATACTGTCTTTAGTAATACTTTATGAAGGGGAAATAAATTGTCTGCAATACTCCACATCTCATGATAAGGACAGACCATTACACTGCTCTCTTTTGTTTAAAAAAAAAATAACAGAGTGGTCCCAAGTATATGGAGTTCTTTTGTGTGAACTGGAGCCATGTGACACAAGCCATTCAGTCTAATTATCATCTACATTAAAT